TAGTAAATAAATATTTTAATTTGCAAACGGTTAATGACACAGATAGAATCTTGTATGAATGTTTTGATGATTCAATTCAATAAAATTTCACAAAACAAATTGAAAACTTGCATTTATAGTAAACGGATTGATAATCGGTTTAACGAAGTAATTACAAACATTTGTGATCAAGAATTTAAATATATATATATATATATATATATATATATAACACTTTAAACACGTTTTATAAAGTAAATAGTGTTCACAAACAACACAATACTAAGGTGGGTGCAATATCAAAAAACGGTGTCAACAGAATAGAAGTGAAAAGATATTGTAAAACATAGAAAGGTAGAAATTTTGCTAACACATTCCAATAAAAACATTGAAAAATTGAAAATTAATTCAAATAAACTCCAAACGGTAAAGTTGGGAGATAGAGACTAGCACAAGGTGTGTGATCTAATTTTATGAAAATTGATTGAAGAAAGTTGCAGGGTTTATTTCTAATTGACAAAATATACCTGCGTATCGGTGTCTTCATCGTTCGACAACATTAGATCCGTTGTTGTTGGACGTTGATGACTCCATCCAGTATGACGAGGAGTTCTGAAGACACATGCGAAAAGTCGAATTTTTTTACTAATCGACATAGAAATAATTGTCGCGAGATAAAAAACAAAATAAAATTTATCAGGCTAATATAATTGATTTTTCTAGAAAAACACGTCTCAAAATGACGCATCATAGGATAATTAGAAATAAGATAATTACTAGTCATGAACAACTTAATTATAAAAATCAGTTTGCGATCAATTTATTTTTAACTCCGTGTTTTCTATAAAATAGTTGCTTGGACAATTTACCACGATTGCAATATTCTTTATTGATTATCAAAAATGTTTACTGTACTTAGAAAGTTTAACTTTTTGGTACATATTTATGGTACTTTCCTCCGTTCGTTCATTTTATATTGAAGTATTCTATAATTTTGTCAAAAACGGCAATAAATTATGAAAAATGTAAATCATTTTATCAAAAGTCTTTTTTTTTTCTTTTTGATACCAATCTCACCTAGATTGCCTATCATGAGCTTGTAAACCTACTCCGGAATCTTCCGAAGGTGATCTTAAGTGGTCCTCCATCATAGGTTCACCAAAAATTGCACCACCGTCCTGAAAACAACGTTCAATGACAAAAGCTATTCGCGAACGTCGATAAAAAAATTAAGAAAAAAATTCATTCGTGATAGAAAAATAGAAAAATCTAAAAAAATGATGCAAAAAGAATTTACACAACGTGCTCTAGTTGGATATTTACATAGGAATGAAAATAATATATATATACAAATTAATGCCTATTCGAAAACAGGATATTAATTTTTAAAGATTTATCAAATCAAAATTTGTACAATTGTGCAAAAAAACACGTGCTTCAAAACTCAGTATCAATTAAAAAATTTGAATTAATTAATTAAATTATTTATCATTAATAATGCGGGTTTGATTGTGGATTTATGAAGATCAATTATGATACATCTACTTAAGACTTAATTTGACAACATTGTATGAGTCGATAATTAAAATATTAACATAATTTAAATTTAGCTAATCTTGATAAAATCAAAAATATCTTTTGGTTATTAATTTTCTGAAATATTGATAAATTTATTAGCAATTTCAGGAACAGAACGGAGGTTTGCCAACAAATTTTATAATTATTAGCGCTTTATAAAAGATCACAGAAATAACAAAGTTCGAACAAATTACGATTTGTAAAGGAATTAATATATTTACATAAAAAATAAAAAAAAAAGTTTTTTCTATAATATTTAGAAACCTCAGCTTTCCAACACAAGGTTTCAAAAGAATTATTAAGAAATCATCTAATACTACATTTAAACTTAAATTCATTTATAAAATGGAAAGTTGTAGCTATTTGCAGTATATAAACAATATTCAATCCATATTACTATGGGAATCAGCGTCCAAATAAAAAGTGATGAAAATTCCCAAGGTACCAAAATAAAAACTAAAAGAAATTTTGAAGGTTCCAAAATATATACCGAGTTAATAATATATAAGGACGCCGATATAAAGACAATAATTGGTGACATACAAACTCATTCAGACAATTACAAAAGCCGTCTAGAGGATCACCCAAATCTCCTTGTCATAAAACTACGCCACAACCTTACCAGGCATGTTACCATACATCAATTTTCAAAATCTTTGATAATGGTCAAAAATGTTTGTATTTTTGAAGTCTTTTTTAAAATTCTACAAATTCACTTGTGTCCATTTCTTCCAAATTTAGCGAGATGAAAATCCAAAGATGCCAAAATAAATTACTAAGAAAATTTATGAATGCCTTAATGTATGTTTCGTATTGGTTAATATAAATACTCCGACATAACAAAGCCGTTTCGAGGATCATCCAGGGTATGATAACTAAATATAGGTAAATCAATTTTCAGAATCTCTGATAATGGTCAGGAGATTTTGTATTTTTGAAGTCATTTTTTTAATCCCACAGTTTCACCTGTTGTTTATTTTAGAACAAGTGTAAAAATTACTATTTAATAAAATAAAGTAAATTTATTATAAATTAATGACAAAAAGTAAATTTTCTTAACTAGTAATGAAATTAGTATTATATACAAAATTAAATAATTTTTTTGACAAAATAAAAACAGACATGTGATCATGATTTTGAGTTTCCCAGAATTGTATCAGTATTTCGTGAAATAATTACTGTTTACTGCAAAAGTGTGCAATTTAACGAAATATTAGATATAAACAGTTAATATAGTATTTCTGTTTGCAATTATTTCTATTTTATTTATTTATAGTTCTTCCTTCGATAATCTATATCATATGTGTTACCATTTATTGCTATTATTTTGAAGAAATAGAGCATATATTCCGGTGACCACAAAAGACAACGAAATGCCGTTGTAGACAAATGTCACAACGTATAATTTAAAACTTTGTCGGAGTTACAGTCCATGCTGCGTTATGCAATTTTAGAATTACTTTAATAATATATAACATATATAACAATGAATGTAATCATACTAATTATATACCAGTGCATATTTCATTTTCACAATCTCAATTTTTCACGTCATAGCAAAGAGGCATTATTGAGAAAATTGTTTCCAGAGAAATAGATAAATGATTCATATTTATAGCAAGGAATCTATTATAAAATATATGTGCATATTTAAATTAACATCTCACTATATGTAAAATTGTTGATCTCGTCCAAAATTCAGAAGTAAATATTTTGGAAAATCCACTACACCGATTTAGTTTCGAAGTCTATAAATCTATAAATTTAGAGGAAAAAGTAGAAATACAGTACATTTTCTTAAACACATAATAATTCTCACAAAAAATTTGAAATCGAATATATCCATTAGTGTTTTAGGTAAATAAATTTTTGTCATGAATTATAATAGAACTAATTCATTGCAGATGACTAAATGTCATCATCAAATCCAATCACATCAAATTCATCAATACGTATCATATTTAAATTCAGCAATATATCAAATTTAAATCTAGAATTATATGGAAGGACATATCAATTAAGGCTGAACCCTACAAGTTTAGATTTTTTTCACTAGTTAGTAATATTAGATTCAATTTATTTGTAAAAATAGTTAATAAAAATTAGTTCAGTTAATAGTTAATTAAAAAGTTAGTTCTGAATTCCAGGTTAGCTTCATTTTATTGGAGAAAAAAATTTGGATCGCGTACACATTCTCATAATTCTCAAAGAAAATTTGAAACCAATCATATAGACCGGTGTTTCATAAAGACACATTTTCGTTATAATTTCTTGTACAAATATTTTATTTCAGATGATTAAATTCTATCATCAAATAAAATGCGTTAGTATAAAAATTTACATTATTGATTTTCTCAATAGTACAAAGGAAAAATTGCTAAAAAAATATTTTAGAATCAGTATAAATGTAAGTTAGATTTAGTTTAGTTGTAAGATTTTACACAAAAATTTAATTTTACAAAAATTTTACAGAAAATTTGAAATAAAACATATCGATCAGTGTTTTATGGAGACATATTGTTTCCACTAGTTAGTTATTAAAATTAGATTTAATTAATTTGTAAAAATCATATAGAATTAGTTTAGGTGTAAGCCAGAGTGAGTTAGTTCTAAAATATTAGAGATTCATTTTATTAGAGAAAAAAAAATGAATCCAGTACACATTTCAAAGAAAATTAAAAATCAAACATATCGATCAATGTTTTACCAAGACAAATTT